TCCAAATCTTATACCCAAAACGAACAGAACAGAGAGACGCCAGCACATTGAGTTCAAATTAAGCAAGGGTCCTTTATTGATCAGTTGGGCTGAGAGCAGGCTCGCACCTCAAAGTCTCTTGACCCCTAGAAGCAGGGGGTGGAAACCTTTTATAAGTGGCTTTAAGTAGGAGAGGGGGACTCGTTAATGCAAGCCGATTTTCACAAGAGTGAACACCTGGCAAGGGGCGTCCTTACAAGGGGAAGCTGCGGTGTTGCGTGAACTTTCTTGTGATGCAGAGTATACACCTGCAATTGAAATTGTCTGTAATAAAGAGGGCTACTGCTCTTTGGATGGCAAATAGCAAACCTCTTTATTTCTTCCCAGCTTAAATAGCCAGTGCTGCACGCACACACTATTAATCAATATTCATACCATTACCTCACTAACTTATTCTAAAAAAACAGATTAACTTTTCAAGTGATACTCATTCTTCTAAGTTATCTGTTATACTCAACATAGTAACCATGGAAAAGCAACTGTCAACTCCCTAGCCCACTTCTTGGTAGATATGGAAACTGCTGCGGGGAAAAGGCTGATTGTGTGCCTGCTCTTTGAGGCCTCAAGCCATCTGGAGGTAGTAACTTAATCTTGCAAAACCACAACTCGGAGGTCCTTGAGACATACCGGTGATGTGCCTACATGCCCCAGCCCCCTGGCCAACTCCTGAGCACAGGAATTATACCTCCTTCGTGCTAGGTCAAAGGCCATAATGGAGTTCTGCCTTAGTTCCTCCTGACTTGTGCCAGACAAGATCTGTACATGCTCATTCTCAGAAATGGCAGAGGCAAAGACATATGGGCTTTTCGCCTATACTGGGGTTTTGCAGTTAGTACTGAACTCTTTCAGCTGAGATTTCTGTCTTAAAGGGAGATGTTGAAAGCCCCTGCAAGATGGAGTTGGGGCATAACAGTACCTGTCCATGGAGGCACCTGTGGCTTGGTGAGTAGGGTACCAGCCCTATATACCGAGGGTGGCGGGTTCTTAAACCCAGTCCCGGCCAAACTGCAACAAAAAATAGCCAGGCGTTGTGGCGGGCGCCTGTAGTCCCAACTACTTGGGAGGCTGAGGCAGAAGAATCGCCTAAGCCCAGGAGTTGGAGGTGAGGGCAAAAAAGTAAGACTCTGTCTCTAAAAAAAAAACAAAAACAAAAAACAGTACCTGTCAATAAGCCTCCTTTTTAATTCCTAATATTATCTATGTAGGTCCTTTGCTTTTTTGTTCTCTAATAATCTTATAACATTTTTTCCTTTTCTTTTATATTGAGGTAAATTTACATACAATACACAATAAAGTACACAAACTGAAAATATTTATCTTCAAAATATTTCCATATAGACAGTACCCATGGCTCAGTGGGTAGGGCACCGGCCACATACACCAAGGCTGACAGGTTCGAACCCAGCCCATGCCAGCTAAAACAACAATGATAACTACAACCAAAACATAGCCGGGTGTTGTGGCAGGTGCCTGCGGTCCCAGCTACTTGAGAGACTGCGGCAAGAGAATCACTGAAGCCCAGAAGTTTGAGGTTGCTGTTTGCTATGATGCCACGGCACTCTACCCGGGGTGACAGCTTAAGACTCTGTCCCAAAAAAAAAATTCCATATATATACTCCTGTTTAACTTCCAACAAAATCAAGACAGAAGACATTTCCAGAACCCCTGGAAGGCTCCTTTGTGGCCCTCCTAGTCAATAACCACCAATTATCACTATCATTATGTCAGTTTTGCCTGTCTTTGAACTTCATGAAAAAGTAACACTATAGTATATACTATATATATATTTGTACACACACACTTTTTTTTTTAATTTGTGAGGTTCATTTGTCTTGTTGCATGTATCATTAGTGCATTTGTTTTTGTGGGGGGGTTTTGGACATCAAATATTTTATTAATTGATTTGAACATTCAATTTCATCTGTCTAGAGCAGGCTTTGTGATACAGTGACCATCTGTGTTAAGAATTCTAGAAGGGGTGGCTCATATAGTCAGAGGGTAGGGCACCAGCCACATATATCAAGACTGGCGGGTTTGAACACAGCCTGGTCCAGCTAAAACAACGACAACTGCAACAACAACAACAAAAAATAGCTGGGCATTGTGGCAGGTTCCTGTAGTCCCAGCGACTTGGGAGGCTGAGGAAAGAGAATCCCTGAAGCTCAAGAGTTTGAGGTTGCTGTGAAGTGTGACACCATGGCACTCTACCAAGGGTGATATAATGAGATTCTGTCTCAAAAAAGAATTTTAGAATGCCATTTTATTTTCACAATCCTGGAAAAGTTTCAGGAACAACATTGAGGGTGTTTCCCTAAATAAAACCAAAAAAGGTAAGTGCAGAAGTTAAAAAGAGAGACAGAGAGAAACAACAAGAGAAAGAGAGAAGGAAAGAGAGTGTGTGTCAGAAAAGAAAAAAAGAGGAGCCAGTCGCAGAGTTGGAGACCACACTGAGCAAGAGCCGGACCCATGTCTAATAAAAATAGAAAAAACAATTAGCCAGATGCCATGGCAAGGACTTGTAGTCCCGGCTATTCAGGAGGCTGAGGCAGGAGGATTGCCTGAGCCCAGGAATTTGAGGTTGCAGTGAGCTATGATGATGCCATTGCATTCTAGCCTAGGTAACAGAGCCAGATGCTATCTCAAAAATAAAACAAATAAAAGACAAAAATAATGAGATTGTGTGACCTGCAAAATAAACTATCTCCTAGCTAAAGATAAATGGCAAAGCACTCTGACCAGATAGCTTCCCACAGCATTGTAATTTTGATAACAATTATGTCCAGAGGTTGCTTTGGTGCTTTCCTGACAGGCAAAGTTTGTGGCCGTCGGCCTATCTGTTCCCAAAAGAACTAAATTCTCTGTGAAATGAACTTCATTCCCCCTTGCTGAGGGCTTTAGGGTGTTCCAGTCCCATCGAGTTGCTCAGTTGCTGCTCTGGTCTCTGGATCCCATTGTCAAAAACAGAAAACAGGTCACTGGTTACCTTGAAATCACAAATGCAGGAGGGCAGGATCCCCAAGGGGAAAGAGGAAACGTTCCTGGGTGATGGATGTGTTCGTTAATCTGGACTGAAGTCCTGGTTTCTTGGGTATACAGATATGGCAAAAGTTAACAAACTGCACATGTTTATGGTTTTGTATATTGATTCCACCTCAAAGAAGCTGTTAAAATGTGAAACAGATAAAATATTTATAAAATATGTATAGGACATAACCAATCATGATAAACAGAACATTCACTCCATCCATTAGCTAGGTTTTTTTGTTGTTGGCTTTTGTTTGTTTTTTTGGAGACAGAGTCTCAGTTCATCACGCTCAATAGAGTGTCATGGAGTCATAGCTCACAGCATCCTCAAACTCTTGGGCTCAAGTGATTCTCTTGTGTCAGTCTCCTGAGTAGTTAGGACTTAAGGCACCTGCCACAATGCCCGGCTATTTTTGGAGATGGGGTCTCGCTGTTGCTCAGGCTGGTCTCGAACCCGTGAGCTCAGGCAATCTACTGGCTTAGCATCCCAGAGTGCTAGTATCAGGTGTAAGCCACTGTACCCGGCTCATGAGCTATTTTTAAAAAGTGAGTTTGCCATGTTTTTTGTTAATTTCTGTGTTTCCTAATCCTTCTAAAGTTCTGGCTTTCTTTCTTTCTTTTTTTTAGAGACAGAGTCTCACTTTGTTTCATTCAGTAAAGTGCTGTGGCACCACAGCTCACAGCAACCTCCAGCTCTTAGGCTTAGGACATTCTCTTGCCTCAGGTTCCTGAGTAGCTGGGACCACAGGTGCCTGTCACATGCCTGGCTATTTTATGTTGCAGTTTGGCTGGGGTTGGGATTAAACCCACCACCCTCAGTATATGGGGCCAGCGCCCTACTCACGGAGCCACAGGCACCACCCACAGCTTTCTTGTTAAAAGCAGATGGATGCTTTGAGCTCTTTTCTGAAGTCTTTAGGCTTCCAAATGTGAATAATCTGGAGACTTTTTATCTAAAATAGCTGAGTAATATTGTAGTCTGGCACAAATAGAAGATTGAGACCTGCATTTTACATTACAACAGATGGATGGCCCAAAGTAATAGCTTAAAAATAATCCTGCTGGGCAGCGCCTGTGGCTCAGTGAGTAGGGCACCAGCCCCATATGCCGAGGGTGGCGAGTTCGAACCCAGCCCCGGCCAAACTGCAACCAAAAAATAGCTAGGTGGGTGCCTGTACTCCCAGCTACTCAGGAGGCTGAGGCAAGAGAATCGCCTAAGCCCAGGAGTTGGAGGTTGCTGTGAGCTATGATGCTATAGCACTCTACCGAGGGCGACAAAGTGAGACTCTGTCTCTAAAAAATAAATAAATAAATTAATTAATTAATAAAAATAATCCTGCTACTAAGCTAGAAGCATAGGAAAGCCCAGGCCCAGAATGGACACTCCAGAATTCTTGTTGACAGTGGCCAGGCAGTCATGCTCTTTCACTTCCTTTTCAGAAAACAGGGTTGAGAGCTTGCGAACAGAAAGGGGGCCTCAGGGACACGGGTGGTGTGAGGGAGGAATGCGTTATGATAAAGGGTCAATAGCAGTGATCTCCTGGTATCGTTTAACCAGCATCGACCCAGGGATGGATTTTTTGGTAGAAATTGCTGGCCAACCCTAATAGGGTGTACGTGCCCTGTGCTTGTAAAACTCCCGCTGGATGCTAGCAGTAGACTTCAAACCCAGAAAAGGGGAAGACGAAGTAAAGGACTGCAGTTCAATTTTACTTCTAAGGTAAAACTGGGAGCCACCTTCTGCTTTATCAATACTAAGCTGAGTCACCTTCTGCCACGTGGTTATTAATGAAGCAAAACAAGTGACTTGCCAAAGACTTGACTTAAGTAAGTCAATTCATTGCATGTCTCTATCTTTGCAGCACAGCCATCTGTGTCCTCCAATTAAGGACGCAGGGCTCTGAGTGTTGACTTGGTTTTTTCCTCTCTTCTCAGCAATGGCACTTACCATCTTTATTCTCCGACTGGCCGTCTACATCCTGGCATTTCCTGTGTTCCTGATGAACTTTCTGGGCTTGTGGAGCTGGATATGCAAAAGGTTGTTTGCCTACTTAATGGTGACGTTTGCTATGATATACAACAGACAGATGGCAAGCAAGAAGAGGGAGCTCTTTGGCAACCTGCAAGAGTTTGTAGGCCCCTCTGGGAAGCTGTCCCTGCTGGAGGTGGGCTGTGGCACTGGGGCCAACTTCAAGTTCTACCCATCTGGGTGCAGAGTGACTTGTGTTGACCCCAACCCCCACTTTGAGAAATATTTGATCAAGAGCGTTGTTGAGAACCGACATCTACAATTTGAGCGTTTTGTGGTGGCTTCGGGGGAGAACATGCACCAGGTGGCCGATGGCTCTATGGATGTGGTGGTCTCCACAGTGGTCTTGTGCTCAGTGCAGAACCAGGACCAGGTTCTCCGAGAAGTGTGCAGAGTGCTCAAGCCGGTGAGTGCAGGGGTGTGGTGAGGACTGATCCATGCAGCCATGAGCACCAGGGGGAGTCCTACTAATTTTAGGTGGGTCAAACAGGCTATCCTAAAAAGTGAACTACTGGAGAACACACTGTGAAATTAAAAAAAAAAATCTTAGAGAAACGATAAAGAATATCGTTTATCGCCCCGCCTGAATATATAAGATTTTAAACTGCTAGAACTCTGGGAGGCCGAGGTGGGTGGATTGCCTGAGCTGAGGAGTTCAAAACCAGCCTGAGCAAGAGTCAGGCCTCATCTTTAAAAATAACCGGACATTGTGGTGGGAGCGTGTAATCCCAGCTACTCGGGAGGCTGAGGCAAGAGAATCACTTATGCCCAAGAGTATGATGTTGCTGTGCACTATGACGCCACAGTACTCTACTGAGGGTGACAAAGTGAGACTCTGTGTCAAGAAAAAAAGAAACCCGAGCTATTTAGTCTCCAGATAGTGTGTGGTGTGAATTCGTTCCCCTGCTGGATTCTTCCACAGGTTAGCAAGGTCACTAAGAACAATTCTTTTTTTTTTCCTTTTTTTTGAGACAGAGTCTCACTATGTCACCCTGGGTAGAGTGCTGTGGAGTCACAGCTCACACAAACCTCAAATTCTTGGGCTTAAGCGATTCTCTAGCCTCAGCCTCCCAAGTAGCTGGGACTACAGGCGCCTGTCATAACACCTGGCTATTTTTCTGTTGCAGTTGTCATTGTTGTTTACCTAGCCCAGGCTGGCTTCAAACCTGCCCACCTGGGGGTATGTAGCCGGCACCCTACTCACTGAACTATGGGTGCTTCCCATTTTCATAAGAATTAAAAAGCTTAAGAAAAAAGAGAAGCTTGATTTTCATGTTTACATGGATAGAGCTGGAACATATTCTTAGCAAAGTATCTCAAGAATGGAAGAAAAAGTATCCAATGTACTCAGCCCTACTATGAAACTAATTTATAGCTTTCATATGAAAGCTATAATCCAGTTATAGCCCAAGAATACAGGGAAAGGGGAGAGGGGAGGGGGGAGGATGGGTAAAGGGAGAATAATGGGTAGGACCACACATAAGGGCGCCATCTTATTAGGGTACGTGTGAAACTTACTAAATGGAGAATATAAATGTCTTAACACAATAACTAAGAAAATGCCATGAAGGCTGTGTTAACATATTTGATGAAAATATTTGAAATTGTATAAAAAACTAGCACATTGTACTCCATGACTGCATTAATGTGCACGGCTATGATTTAATAAAAAACAAAAAGAAGGAAAGAATAAAGAAAAAACCAACTCTAAATAAATAAATAAATAAATAAATAAATAAAACAATGTAATTGAAAGGCAAACAATAAACTGGGGGAAATATATGCAGTACACAGTCTTACTACCACAAAAGCTGCACTAATCCCTAAGAAAATACCCAACACACCTGTGAGAAAACTGACAAGGGTTATCAATAGACGAATCAGGAGACACCAAATGACCCATAAGCCTTAATGAAAGATTTTACGTCTATTAAAAATATTAGGGCGGTGCCTATGGCTCAGAGGAGTAGGGCCCCAGCCCCATATGCCAGAGGTGGCGGGTTCAAACCCAGCTCTGGCCAAAAAACTGCCAAAAAGAAAAGCTTTAATAAATAAAACAGGTAATTGTTTTAAAAAAATATATTAAAGATATGGCCGGGCACAGTGGCTCACGCCTGTAATCCTAGTTCTTGGGAGGCTAAGACGAGCGGCTTGCCTAAGCTCATGGGTTCAAGACCAGCCTGAGTCAAAGTGAGACCTCATCTCAAAGAATACCCAGGCATTGTGGTGGGTGCCTGTAGTCCCAGCTACTCGGGAGGCTGAAGCAAGAGAATCACTTGAGCCCAAGAGTTTGAGGTTGCTGTGAGCTAAGATGCCACAGTATTCTACCAAGGGTGTTAAGGTGAGACTCTGTCTCAATAAAAAACAAAAAAAATCAAAGATATGCATATTTTTGAAGAAGAAACACAATCTTGCCCATTAAATAAGTAATGACAGAAAAAATATAAACATCAATACAATATATTCTGGGATGGATGAGGGTTTATTGGAAATGGGCACTGACCTGCATTGCTACCACAGTGGGACACGATTTTTCCAACACCTTGAAAAAGGCACAGAACACTGACTCAGAAGTTCTACTATCTCAGCAAGTTATTTGTTTGAAAATAGAGACAGCCACTAAGATTTAGGGAGAAGGATGTTTCCCGTAACAGTATTTATGCCAGTGAAAAACTGAAGAGAAACTAAGTGAGAAGAGGTAAATAAGAGATAGGACCTTCAGTGAGGGGAAATCACTGGATAAAGATTTTATAAGTCGTGTTTTAGGTTTATTAAACATAGATTTATAACTTTTATTTTATTTTTGAGACAGAGTCTCACTTTGTCACCCTCAGTAGAGTGCTATGGCATCACAGCAACCTCATTCTCCTTGGCTCAAGCCATCCTCTCGTCTCAGCCTCCCAAGTAGCTGTGACTACAGGTGCCCACCACAACACCTGGCTATTTTTAGAAATGAGGTCTCTCTCTGGCTCAGGCTGGTCCCAAACCTGTAAGCCCAGCCAAACCACCCACTTCAGTCTCCCAGAGTACTAGGATTACAGGCAAGAGCCACTGAGCCCGGCAATCATCTTATAAATCTGTTGTACCAAAACTAACATGTTTGTTGCCATGTCATTGTTCTTTCTCAGGGAGGGGCTTATTTTTTCCTGGAGCATGTGGCAGCTGAGCCATCCACCTGGATTTCCTTCTGGCAACAGGTCCTGGATCCTCTCTGGTACCTTCTGTTTGATGGGTGCAACCTGACCAGAGAGAGCTGGAAGACGCTGGAGCGGGCCAGCTTCTCTAAGCTGAAGCTCCAGCACATTCAGGCCCCGCTGTCCTGGAAGTTAGTGAGCCCTCATATCTATGGATATGCGGTGAAATAGTGTCAGTGAGCAGGAGAGTGCCGAGTGGCTCAAATAACAGGGGATTCGGTTGTCCGTGGGCCAGACTAACTGGGAGAAGGGAAACCCTGGTTTTTAGATAAATTTGAATTTCATTCTGAGAAGCTTCTCTTATGTTGTATTAGTCATTTTCTCTTGTCTCCTAAAGAATTAAAAACCAGGCTCGGCGTCTGTGGCTCAAGTGGCTAAGGCACCAGCCACATACACCCAAGGTGGCGGGTTTGAATCCAGCCCGGCCCGCCAAACAACAATGACGGCTGCAACCAAAAAATAGCCAGGTGTTGTGGC